GATGAACAAGAAAGAATAATTTACTAGTATTTGTGATATTGGTGACATTCGAGATGAGTAAATTCTTAACGAGTTGTGTCGTCGTTAATTGCCGGTCAAATAAACGGAAAATGCATCGCTGAATTTTCAATGCATTACATTTACATAATGGTTATTGTATATGGCTTTTTATGGAGCACAAGTCAAATGAAGTGTAAGCAAATCATTGCGATATTCACTGAATTCAATTATGCATTCGCTCGGCACAATCAGCCGTAAATCATCTATTTGTGCATCACTAAGATAATTCCATTGACGTAAATGTCGAATGACGTCGTCGTTGTCATGCTCGGTCGATATCGATTAGGGTATGAATTCAGCTGAGCTGGTCGACGAGGAATTTAGCTTGGATGTTAGCTAGCAGCAATTCAAGGATGTCAACATGCAGTACGACACCAATTGCAATAGCACTCGGATTGAACATGTGACAGACGGAATGGCTAGAAAACAGCACTGGATTGAATGGAAAAGGATGTTGTAGTGAGGCAAAATGAAGAGAGATTGGTGTGTGCTCAAATAAGATAAGGAGCTTTTTGAGAGATATATCTAAATGAAGCATTCGTCAATTCATTTGGAACGTTCACGCTTATCTAGCCATTAGCTTAGAGCGTGTATTAGTGTCAACTTGGATCATGCTCTATGTGCAGCATGCGTTACACTTGTTGCTTTGCATTCAATTTGTCGGTACCATTTGGGGTAATCATGTTTTCGATTATGGCAATCTAGAGGATTTATACGGTGATCATGATCTGTTCATGGGTGAGGATGCTCTTGGTGATGTTGATCAACTGCTCGAACGAAACGAAGTTTGTTTTTGGATTGATTTTATTTGAAACATCTAAATAATTAGTATGCGTTTAGTATACTAATAAACAGGGGTGGGCAGTAGCGCGATATTCCACTACTTTGCTACTAGCGGAATAACGGAATGGCCAGTTCGCTAGTAACGGAGTGGTTATTACGCTATTTCGTTAGTAGCGAAGGAGCGGAATAGCGCGCTATTGCCCACCTCCGCTGATAAATACTATCGTAAGTATATTATTTGGTTGTTCTGTGTTCACTGATTTATCATATATTCATTGATAATATCGGTTTATTCGAGAGCAACTTATTGTATTTATGGAACGTGCTTTGTACTGTTGTTCACTGATATATCAAGTACTACCCACAGTTATGTGTTGTTGCGAAAACGCAATAATCATTTGCGTCTTCGTAAATGATTATTGAGTTATTCGCGTAAGGAGAATTGATTTGAGCAAGGTGATAGTTGATCAGTTTATAGAATAAATAACATATGCTCTCAAGGAAGTTACAAAATTTACTGGTGAACTTGTGTAGAAGATGAGTTTGGAAACTTTTCACAAATTTCAGGCCTTCATTTTGCCGGTTTCGAAGCCACTCGGGCAAGTGACTGGAATTGGGATCGATTCAAATAATCATTTGATCGCCTTTCATCGGGCTGATCGTACGTGGGATGAAGAGTTCGTGTAGAACTACTATTGAATTTCTTGATTATTTTATTATTTGTTCATTTTTTCACACATAAATAAGAGGCAAACAACAGTTATGTGGTAGGTATCATGGGTCATAACCGAAGCTAACCACTAGTGAAATATTGATTGTGTTAGTGTGTAAGCTGATCAAAGTTAATTTCCAAATGCGAGAGAATAAGAAATCGTATTAAATCGAAAGTTGAGTTTTTTCAACAGCTTGAAATTGAAAATGTAATTATGATTCCTAATTTTAGCACATAAATTCTTAGAATTCATTGAAACCTTAGAACGCAGAGCATTCCACGCATTCTTTTCAATTGAATGCAGCGCGATTAGTATTGGTTTAGTGGATGTGTACCGTAATCACTGAATTCAGTCCTTACTAACTGACAAATGAATCAAAGGAAGCGTGATTGAATTCATTGAAAGCCACCAAAATAATTGAAATAATGAGAATCATCAATTTTCTTCCGTATTCAAATGTCAATTATGTCTACCATTCTATGAGAAACGAGAATGGGTCAAGAAGTCCAATTCTAAAGCCAAACTTCCAGAATTATTTGCGAATAAGCATTACCTAGCTAAAATGCTACTTTGAATGAAGTAGTTGAGCGATGGAAAGTAGCCGATTCCAGATCACTTAATGAATATGAACATTTCAGAATAAATTCCAGTTCGGAACACCGAAAAATGATACCTTCGTTTACGTTTTGCTCAGTCAGTCAAAATTTTGAGAAAACAGAAATGAGAAAACTCGAAGCGTTCTTGAGCCTAAGTTTCATTGTTTATGCGTACTTATTCAATCCTAAAAGATCCGCGCAAATTGTTTTTAGCTGTTAAAAAGGATATCTCAGTTCAAGTTCAACATATCCAATCAGGAAATAATCGTAATTTCATTTGCGTCACCATAAATGAATATATACACTGTCAGTACTAAACAAACTATTGCAATGGAAATTATGATAATAATAGGATTATAATAACGACAACAATAACAATGATATCAATAACAATAGTGATGATATTTTTGATAAAAACAGCAGTTGCAAACAATTAATAAGAGTGATATTATTTTGAGATCATTCGACAAAGAAAATCGATTCAATAGAAGTCTGAAGGCGATAAAAAACTTTACAATTGCTGTGATTGATCCTGAATCTGGGAAGGTCCTGCAGGAATCCGGTGACAACATGTTCTTCTTGCCGCACGGATTGACTGTCGATAGCGACGACAATATTTGGCTTACGGATGTCGCTTTACATCAGGTTATTATTATTGTTTTTGTTGTCACTGTCGATCATTATCATTCATATTTCTTTCGTAATTATTATTGCTGTCACTCCTAATGGTACTACTGTTATCGTCACGATCATTTTCATTTATTTCAACGAACGTAATGCGCACATATAATTCAGGTGTTCAAACTGGACAAGAATTTCAAAACTCAACTGATATTGGGTGAACATTTAAAGCCTGGTAATGATAACCGACACTTCTGTAAGCCAACTGATATCGCAGTCGCTAAAAATGGACATTTCTTCGTAGCGGATGGCTACTGCAACAGTCGTATCATGAAATTTGACAAGAATGGCAAATTTCTGACGAGTTTTGGATCCGAGAACAGTACGTTATCATTGGATTAGAGTAGTGCTTATGATGTTTTTGGATGATTAGACATAAAACTTATTCTTTTAGTTTTCCTTCTTCCAACTTTTCCTATCAGCTCTTACCAAAGTGGATGTAGTTTTTACAGCAGACGCCTTTTTTTTAGATCTTGGATATAGCTTTATACTTCATTTTACATACGATGTCCTTCTTGACACAATCGTCATATTTATTTACTTGCATTCTTGTTCACTTCAGAAATACAATAGCAGATATAAGTTGTCATTTGAATGCTTCATTGCAAATATATTCACAGTGCTCGTGTCGTGCTGCGTTACTGAATGTGTTTTATGACCATCTGCTGAAATAGCGCTCTCATTAGAGCGTTTCCTTGCTTTCTGATTAAATATCTTTTGATCAGTATACCCTCATTCACTTGTCCAAATCTAATCGCGAATCTCAGCCATTTCTGATCACGGTTCTGAGCGTGAACCTAACTCGCAGCCTAGGCTAGTCTGACCTGTTCCTTCATCAAGTGTTCATCGTTGTAAATCGAGTGACGAGAAAACGGCGTAAGCATATATTGTACTACAGGATTCTCTTAGTCACCGAAAATGTACGGATCTAATAATGATCGTAAGCAATACTTTTTGAACATGTCTCTGCGCATACTGAGAATCGAAGTTTTTGACGTTTTATTCGTAACGGCATTGGTATCAATTCATATTAGATTATACCTCCAGTTACGTTATATAAATGCACGAAGATTCGTAGATTATAAGTACTATTTTCGGTCATTTGTTCGGAACTTAGAATTTGCAATTCAGCAATCTATTTGACCAGTGATGAGACGTTTTATTGCTGAACGTATCGTTGCTAGTTGTGAATTATGAACCAGCAAACTGCACATTTCTATGATGATGACGATGGCAGCAAGGCGACATTTCTTGACAAATTGCGACAATTTTCAGGTGGAATTTTACCGGAAGATGGTGAATTTTGGATACCGCATTCGCTGGCTTTAATTGAAGATATGAACTTGATTTGTGTTGCGGATCGTGAAAATGAACGCATTCAATGCTTCAGTGCGGGTTTAGTCGAGGATAACAGGAACATACCAACGGGAATATTCATCACGAAAGCGGAGAACATTGGACGAGTTTTTGCGATTCGTGAAAAACGTATTTTCTTTTTCTTTTTTTATGTTGAAAAAATTGTTTAAATGGTTATTCAGATCATTTGAATTGACACAAAAATATTTCCGCTGTTATAATTGCACATGGTGACGATTATCACTGTTTGATGACGAATTCCCGTAGAATTCGTTGTTGACTGTCATTGGTACGAAAGTACGCCCGAACGTCCTTTGATCCATCGTCTTTTCATCACCGTTTGACTGGTTTCATTCATCTAGGTTTCAGGTTGACCGAACCTAAAATTGACCCTGATTTTAGGTACAAAACTGAGCCTGATTTAAATCTCACTCATTCCTTAATCAAATGTTCGTAATTGACTATCGTGCGGTAAAAAGAGGAAGTTAACAAAAACATTGCATTACTAAGAACATTGTGTGCAAACGTTGAGATAATTTTTTTCTAATTGTTCGTCACTTCGGTATTTATATTAAGCCATCGTCAGAATCCCTCAACTTTATGAAACCAAAGAGAAATATATTCTCAGTTATAATATGACTCGTCAAATTTCTTCAAAATTTGTCAAATCGTTATTCATT